TAGACACTCACTTAGACACTCACTTAGACACTTAGACACTCACTTAGACACTTAGACACTTAGACACTCACTTAGACACTCACTTAGACACTCACTTAGACACTCACTTAGACACTTAGACACTTAGACACTCACTTAGACACTCACTTAGACACTTAGACACTCACTTAGACACTCACTTAGACACTCACTTAGACACTTAGACACTCACTTAGACACTCACTCACTTAGACACTCACTCACTTAGACACTCACTCACTTAGACACTTAGACACTCACTCACTTAGAAACTCACTTAGACACTTAGACACTCACTTAGACACTTAGACACTCACTTAGACACTCACTTAGACACTTAGACACTCACTTAGACACTCACTTAGACACTCACTTAGACACTTAGACACTCACTTAGACACTCACTTAGACACTCACTTAGACACTTAGACACTTAGACACTCACTTAGACACTCACTTACTTAGACACTCACTCACTTAGACACTCACTCACTTAGACACTTAGACACTCACTCACTTAGAAACTCACTTAGACACTTAGACACTCACTTAGACACTTAGACACTCACTTAGACACTCACTTAGACACTTAGACACTGAGACACTCACTTGGACACTTAGACACTCACTTATACACTTAGACACTCACTTAGACACTTAGACACTCACTTAGACACTCGCTGGCTGGCACGCCTCAAGAAGGCCATCTTCAACCCTGAGCTGTACCAGGACATCGCCACGTGGATCAGGGTACAGCTCACTTAGACACTCACTTAGACACTCACTTAGACACTTAGACACTTAGACACTCACTTAGACACTTACTCACTTAGACACTCACTTAGACACTCACTTAGACACTCGCTCACTTAGACACTCACTTAGACACTCATTTAGACACTTAGACACTCACTTAGACACTCACTTAGACACTCACTTAGACACTTAGACACTCACTTAGACACTCACTTGGACACTTAGACACTTAGCCACTCACTTAGACACTTAGACACTCACTTAGATACTCACTTAGACACTCACTTATACACTCACTTAGACACTTAGACACTCACTTAGACACTCACTTAGACACTCACTTAGACACTCACTTAGACACTTAGACACTCACTTAGACACTTAGACACTCACTTAGACACTCACTTAGACACTTAGACACTCACTTAGACACTCACTTAGACACTTAGACACTCACTTAGTCACTTAGACACTTAGACACTCACTTAGACACTCACTGGCTGGCACGCCTCAAGAAGGCCATCTTCAACCCTGAGCTGTACCAGGACATCGCCACGTGGATCAGGGTACAGCTCGCCTAGACACTCACTTAGACACTCACTTAGACACTCACTTAGACACTTAGACACTTAGACACTCACTCACTTATACACTCACTTAGACACTCACTCACTTAGACACTCACTTAGACACTCACTTAGACACTCACTCACTTAGACACTCACTTAGACACTCACTTAGACACTCACTTAGACACTTAGACACTCACTTAGACACTTAGACACTTAGACACTCACTTAGACACTTAGACACTCACTTAGACACTTAGACACTCACTTAGACACTTAGACACTCACTTAGACACTTAGACACTCAGACACTTAGACACTTAGACACTCACTTAGACACTTAGACACTCACTGTCTGGCACGCCTCAAGAAGGCCATCTTCAACCCCGAGCTGTACCAGGACATCGCCACGTGGATCAGGGTACAGCTCGCCTAGACGCTCACTCACTTAGACACTCACTTAGACACTCACTTAGACACTCACTTAGACACGCACTTAGACACTCACTTAGACACTTAGACACTCACTTAGACACTCACTTAGACACTCACTTAGACACTTAGACACTCACTTAGACACTTAGACACTCACTTAGACACTCACTTAGACACTTAGACACTCACTTAGACACTCACTTAGACACTTAGACACTTAGACACTCACTTAGTCACTTAGACACTTAGACACTCACTTAGACACTCACTTAGACACTTAGACACTGAGACACTCACTTGGACACTTAGACACTCACTTATACACTTAGACACTCACTTAGACACTTAGACACTCACTTAGACACTCGCTGGCTGGCACGCCTCAAGAAGGCCATCTTCAACCCTGAGCTGTACCAGGACATCGCCACGTGGATCAGGGTACAGCTCACTTAGACACTCACTCACTTAGACACTCACTTAGACACTCACTTAGACACTCACTTAGACACTTAGACACTCACTTAGACACTCACTTAGACACTTAGACACTCACTTAGACACTTAGACACTCGCTTAGACACTCACTCACTTAGACACTCACTTAGACACTCACTCACTTAGACACTCACTTAGACACTCACTTAGACACTCACTTAGACACTCACTTAGACACTTAGACACTCACTCACTTAGACACTCACTTAGACACGCACTTAGACACTCACTTAGACACTCACTCACTTAGACACTCACTTAGACACTTAGACACTCACTTAGACACTTAGACACTCAATTAGACACTCACTTAGACACTCACTTATACACTTAGACACTCACTTAGACACTTAGACACTCACTTAGACACTCACTTACTTAGACACTCACTTAGACACTTACTCACTCATACACTCACTTAGAGACTTAGACAATCACTTAGACAGTCACTTAGACACTTACTCACTCATACACTCACTTAGACACTCACTCATACACTCACTCATACACTCACTTAGACACTTAGACAGTCACTTAGACACTCACTCATTTAAACACTTACTCACTTAGACACTCACTTAGACACTCACTCATTTAGACACTCACTCACTTAGACACTCACTCACACACTCACTCGTACACTCACTCACTCCCCATGTCTCCCCGCGTCTCCCCGCGTCTCTCTCCCCGTGTCTCTCTCCCCGTGTCTCTCTCTCCACCGTGTCTCTCTCCCCGTGTCTCTCTCCCCGTGTCTCTCTCCCCATGTCTCTCTCTCCCCGTGTCTCCCCGTGTCTCCCCGTGTCTCTCTACCCGTGTCTCTCTCCCCGTGTCTCTCTCCCCGTGTCTCTCTCCCCGTGTCTCTCTCCCCATGTCTCTCTCCCCGTGTCTCTCTCCCCGTGTCTCTCTCCCCGTGTCTCTCTCCCCGCGTCTCCCCGTGTCTCCCCGTGTCTCCCCGTGTCTCTCTCCCCGTGTCTCCCCGTGTCTCTCTCCCCGTGCCTCTCTCCCCGTGTCTCTCTCCCCGTGTCTCTCTCCCCGTGTCTCTCTCCCCGTGTCTCCCCGTGTCTCCCCGTGTCTCTCTCCCCGTGTCTCCCCGTGTCTCTCTCCCCGCGTCTCCCCATGTCTCTCTCCCCGTGTCTCTCTCCCCGCGTCTCCCCGTGTCTCTCTCCCCGCGTCTCCCCATGTCTCTCTCCCCGTGTCTCTCTCCCCGCGTCTCCCCGTGTCTCTCTCCCCGCGTCTCCCCATGTCTCTCTCCCCGTGTCTCTCTCCCCGTGTCTCCCCGTGTCTCTCTCCCCGCGTCTCCCCGTGTCTCCCCGTGTCTCTCTCCCCGCGTCTCCCCGTGTCTCCCCGTGTCTCTCTCCCCGCGTCTCCCCGTGTCTCCCCGTGTCTCCCCGTGTCTCTCTCCCCGCGTCTCCCCGTGTCTCCCCGTGTCTCTCTCGCCGCGTCTCCCCGTGTCTCTCTCCCCGTGTCTCTCTCCCCGCGTCTCTCTCCCCGTGTCTCCCCGTGTCTCTCTCCCCACGTCTCCCCATGTCTCCCCGTGTCTCTCTCCCCGCGTCTTCCCA